GTGGACGTTCATTTTTATCGGCAATGAGTTGACATACTTGGGTGGTGACTAAAACAGACAGCTGCATAAGTAAGAATGTTTAAAAATCCATTATTTAGGTGAATGCTTTTAAGAAATATCTTATTTTGAAGGTTTTGGTAAGCACGTAGAATATAGTCATTATTTATGGCCATTTAACTGAAGCCAGTGAAAATCGTAGTGTTAATTACCATTTCAAGAAAGATCTGAACCTCCTAATCGAAATCCCAAAATAATTACATAGAAATGTGACGGAAGGGAATTTCTCTTAGCGTACAAAAATGGCGCGTTTATAATTGCGCCTGACAATTCCATTTAAATTCGTTAGTTACCGACCGGCATGTCCGCATGAAATGTCTTATTCCTGTGACCTCCCAATCAGCAAACTCAAGTGAAACTCTGCTTGCCTTAATTCAACGTAACTCAAGCAATGGATAAGCGGAAGAAACAACTAACCATTTTCGTGAAACCTTGTTGGAATACGTACTCGAAATTTGGGCTGTTCGGTAACAGCCATACATTACATTGCACGTAATATGGAAGCATATGTATCCAAAGATTTTACAAAAAGATTATTTTCTAACGTACTTATACTCGTGCGGCTTCATTCATTCGACTTTTTGCATGAACAGGTTTCCTCTACATTGAAAACTTAAGTGTACCCAGTACGCCCTATTTTCACTTTTTTGGAATTTTCCCTTTTGGTAAAAAAGCTGGTATTTCTAAACAACGTAATACTCCTTGATAAATCGCAATATGCCTTATTGTGAAGAACGACCATTACTTTATTGCTTTAAGATTTCGGGGACCGCAGTTTGGGCTGCGTTTGAATAACAGGGAGCTACTTGTAAAAGTCCTTGGACTTCATAAGTTAGACCCCCTACTGTAGTTCATTGTTTACCTATAACGCAGGACAAACGATCACTTTGGTGGTCGTGGTCAAATTTGCGCTTGAATTCACATAAATACAAGACTTTAGAACGTCCACGGGCTGCTGATACGTACTTACCCATTACAGTCAGGCCGATTTAAGGGCAGCAGTACTAGCAACAGTGTATTTGCTACCCCTATACCCTGTGATACTATTTTTTTTACGTCCTGCCTATATTTC